AAAAAAGTTTGGAAAAAAATGCTTGAAGTAGAACTGGAAGGTAGCTCAAGGGCCAAGAAGCCTTTGTACCGTGAAGGCCCTAAGCTCAATCCCCAGCACCCCATGGACCCCAAGCACAACAAGTGTGGCCCTGGTGTCCCCAGGTCAGATGGGCCTGGCCAATACGTCTCCAGGCTCCGCATTGAACTGTCCAGCCCAGTTGGCTCCAGGGCCCTTGATCATTTCTTGGAAGGCCCCCTCATATTTATCTTTATTTATTTATTTGGGGCCACATCTGGCGTGGTTGGGGCTTGCTCTTGGTTCTACACTCAGGGATTGCTCCTGACAGGGCTCGGGGGTTCTTAGAGGCTGCCAGGGGTTGAACCTGAGTGGGCTGCATGCAAGGTAAGCCCTGTACCTGCTGTATGAGCACTTACCCGGGATGCAGCCTGTTCAGATTTGCCCCCCAGTACCTCCTATGGTCCCCGAGCCCCAGCAGGAATGACCCCTGAGTGCAGAGCCAGGCATAACCCCTGACTACTGCCAGGTGTGGTCCCAAAACAAAAACAAACAGAAAAGTTGAAGTAACACAATGACGACAACTGGATTTTTAATTTTTTTTTTTACAGTGTCAGGAATTGAACCCAGGGTCTCAAACACGCAAAGCAAATGCTCTGTCACTGAGCCACGTTCCTGGCTCTGAAGATCGTGTATTTTCTGTGTCAATTTTCATGTTGGTGGGTGGTTTTTATTTATTTATTTATTTATTTATTTTTACTTTTCTGATTGGGGGTCACACCCGTTGTTCTCAGAGAACCACGTGATGTTACATGTGGGACCTGGTCCTCCCACAGGTAGAGCACCCCCTGCGTGATAATCCATCTCTCAGGCCTCTACTTCCTGTTTTAAATATAGGTGGTATATATAGATGGCTTCAGTTTTCCAGGGGAAAAAAAATCCCTTCTTCCCAACCAAATAAGAGTGGTGAGGTGTGTGATCTGCCCATTTCCTTCCATCTCAGCAGAGTTTACCCCCCCACCCCACTCCCCGCCCTCGGGACAGAATTTTCTCTGCCAGCCCCTAGAATATGACCTGGGGCCAGAAAGGTGGCTCAGGGGGTAGAGCACAGGCCTTGTGGCCTTGAGGCTCAGCACTACATGGCCTTCTGCACTGCTGGTTGTGCCCCCTGACCCTGGCAGGACAATAAGGAAGGACCACAGAGCAACAGGAAGTGCCCACGGGGGCAGAGGGCAGAGCAGTGTGGGGCCTGGCTGAGCCTAGAGACGGTAGTTCAGGTGCTCGGGGGAGCCAGGCCTCCAGGGAAACAGCATTGCCCTACCCCCTGCCCTACCCCGGCCTCAGCCCTGCTAGGCCCAAGAGGGGGCCACCAGAAATCCTGAGGGCCCAGGCCAGGCCGCCGCCTCTGGCCCATGGCCTGGTAGGGAACTGCAGAACCCGCAGACGGAGAAGAGCCCCAACCTCGGAGCGCAGGCACACGGGAGGTCTGAGCTCACCTGCTGGGTGTCCCGGCCCACTCCTGTCTTCAACTTCTGCAAGAGTAAAAGCCCCGGCCCACACGGCGGGGCCACCTGACCGCGTCCCCCAGGCCGGGCCTGTGCACCAGCCCCAACCTCGCAATCCTCCGAGTCTGGGCCTGGCGCACCGGCCGGGGAGGTGGCCCGGGAGAGGCCGGGCTGCAGGCCCGTGGGGGAGCAGCCCATAAATCAGACCCCACTCCCACCGGGCGCTAACAAGCGGGGCTGCCGACCCGCCTACGTGGGGTCCCTGGCTCTGGGCTCCCCCAGAGGCCTGAGCACCAGCTGGCCAAGGCCTCCGCCGTGCCTTGGCCTCCACCCCCACCGCGGCCCCCAGATAGATAGGGGGAATTTTTTTTCTTTTCTTTTAGGAGAAGGAAAAAAAATCGACCTAAATGAAGAGAAACACTAACAAAGAAAGAGACCCGCAGTCACGTGGGGGCAGAGACCAATTGGGCCTCCGGTCCCCCCCCCACGGGCGGGGAGGAGGAGGACCGACAGACAGGGCCAGCCTACTGTCCGCTCGCCGCCCGCCGTGGCCTGAGTTCCCGGTTCCTGGTGCCCCCACTCGGCACTGCCCAACCTGGGCCGCCACCGCCTCCCCGGGACCCCCAGTGCCCGCTGTCCACCCTCATCGGCGTGAGCTCGTCTTTGCTCCGTAAGTGAGGGCCGGGGTCCAGGCCTCCTCCTGCTCAGGGCGTCCCCGCGGCCTGGGCTCGCGCTACTCCGGGCAGAGAAGGGCCCGGGTGGCCTCTGCCCTGCCCTCCCGCGGGTTACCCCTTCTTTCTCCCTGTGGGAGCGGCGGGGCCTCTGAGGACAGGCCGTGTGCGGGGCTGAGCTGACTCCGACCACCCGGGGCCTGCCTCTGTGCCCCTCTGTCACTCGGGGTTCCTGGGCCCGGCCAGGGTTTGTCTCCCCGGTTAAGCCGGGCGTGAGGGGTTGGAAAGTGCCCACCAGACGGTGGGGTCCACTGTGAGGCGTGGGGGCAGCGTGTCCAGAGGGGACCCCCCCGCAGTGAGAGTGGGAGCAGGAAGAGGGGGTGCAGCGGAGGGAGGAGGGACAAGGACTCAGGGTCCAGCCCCCACCTCATCTGGGTCCTGCCTGGACACGGGCCCTGAGACCACCCCGCAGACCCCACCTCGGACCCAAGCTCCCCTTCACCCTTTCTAAGGCGCCCACCCTTCGGGGCTGCTCAAAGCCAGGAGCCCCTACTTCTGCAGCTGCCGTCTGAAGGGGGGCGGGGAGGGACCGTGGGGACCTGGGCTCAGGTTCTTCCTCCACCCGGAGACCCACCCATGAGCTCCCAGAACCTGCAGAACCCCGCCACTGTAGGAAGCCCCCCTGCCCTGGGTCTTCTGCAGACACTCAGAGAGCCCAAGCAACTTGCTGGCCATGCACAGCAGGGGGCGGCTGACTCTGTCCTTCTATGGGGGGTGGAGGAGTGGGGTGCAGGACTAGGGGGCGACAGGGAGGGTGGTGGTGGGGTCCCAGGCCCCCACCCCTACGCTGGGGATTTGAGCTGGTGCTGCGGGTGTCCTTTCCTGGCTTAAAGGCCATGGAAGAGAACCCCCTCCCCACCCCCTCACCCCCATGATGCTCTCAGCACCCACTGGACCAAAGTGCCTGTGGGGAGCAGGGTGCAGGAGTGGGGTGGGGGGCGTGGTAGCCCCTTCAACTCTCAGGTCTCATTTATTTTTTTCATCTGAAGAGGAGAATGACGAGGTCCGGGTTCCTCGGGCCAGATTGATAGCTCAGCCTGTCCGGGCCCAGGGATCCTTTTTGTCCCCTGGGGCTGCCGGGAGCCCCCTTTCCCTGGCGCAGAATGGGTGGGGCAGCCGGAGGGCTCCCCCTTCTCCCGGGTCTCTGAGGACAGTTCCCACCCCACCCCCCCGACAGCCGCGGGTTCCCCCCAGGAGCCAGACCTCGGGGAAAACTCTTGGGGGTGAGACTTCCCATTTCCAGCCTCGCAGACCGCGGGACCCTGCCGTACGACCCTCTTTAAGGAAACCCAGGCCTCACCCCCACTTAACAGATGAGGAAACTGAGGACTGGAGAAGGCAGCGATTTAAGTCTGCAGGGAGGCTTCGCGGCTGTGCCAGGGCAAGAACGGAGAGGGGGTGTCCCAGCTGCCCCCCACCCCCGCTCTGCCGCACACTCGCGCGCGCGCGCCGCAGGACGCCCCGCGCCCGCGCCCCCACCCCAACGTGGCCCTGGTCACCTCGAAGCGGGAATTGCGACGAGGGGCTCCCTCTGGCGCCCCGCGGCGGGCTCCGGGGGCTCCTGGGGGCCGGGCCGGGCTGGGGTCCGGCAGCAGGCGGCGGACGGGTCTCCGTCCCCGGATCCCCCCGCGGGCCGCTCAGGGCGCGGGTCCCAGGTGCGCCTCGGGGCGGCCGTGCGGCGGGGGGCGGGGAGCGGCGGGGGGGAGCCGGCCCGCGCCCCCGCCTGTCTCTCCGCCCCCGGCCCCGGCGGGCGGGCGGGCGGGCGGCGCGGGGCGCGGCTCATCCCCGGCGGCGGCGAGGTGCGGGGCGCGGCCGCTGCAGGCGTCGCGGGGTGGACGCGCCTTCGGGCTCCGGGGCTCCCCGACGCCGCGTGCCTCCCGGCGGGGGCCGGAGCTCGGCCGCCCGGAGCCCGCGGGGGTCCCCGCGCGAGGTGTCCGCGCCCGACATCGGGATCCGGGGGGCTCGGGGGGCGGCGGCCCGGGCCGTCGCGGCCGCCGGCTTTGTCCTGCCGGCGCTTCGGGGCTGGGTCCGGGCGCGACCGTGCGGGGCGGCGCCCGGTGCGTGTCCGCGCGGCCCCGCCGTCCCTCCCCGCGTCGCTGCCCGCGGGCCCGTGGAGTCCGTGTCCGCGCCCGTCTCCCTCCGTCCTTCCCTCTCCCCGTCCTGCCGCGCCCCCCTTCCCCCTGTCATCTCGTCCCCGCACGCTCTGCCACTCGGGTTTTCGTTGTCCCCGGCGCAGGGACACGCGCTCCGGGGAGCCGCCTCGGCCGAGGTCTCTGCGTCTCGCTGGGGCCCAGCTCGCGATCTCTGCCGGCTGCGTCTCTGTCCGCCTCGTCCCTGTCCCCTCGTCGGGCGAGTCCTGCGCACAGTCGCGCCCCGCTCCGTCCGCCCGGGCGCCTCCGCGTCCCCCACCCCGTGCCGCCGCGACCCCTCTTCTCTCGCTTTTCTCAGAATCGGGGTTTTTGTTCTCGGGCGAACGAATCGAGATCAAAGCGCATCGAATCCGGGGGTCCCGCGTCCGGCGCGGCGCGGGCAGCGGGACTGCAGCCCCCGGCGGGCGTAGGGTGGGCGCAGGCCCGGCTGCCGGCCGCCCTGGGGTGCAGGCTCCCGCGGGCTCTCGGACGGTCGACGGCGGTCGCGATGCGGCGAGGAGATCCCCTGGGCGGATCCCAAGGGCGGGTGGGGGCTCGGGTTGCGGGACCCCCGAGCCTGCGCTGCGGCGCCGAGCCCCGCTGACCCGCGCCTCCCTCTACAGGCGGTCGCCGCGGGCATGGACTATTCGTACGATGAGGACCTGGACGAGCTGTGCCCGGTGTGTGGGGACAAGGTGTCCGGCTACCACTACGGGCTGCTCACCTGCGAGAGCTGCAAGGTGAGCGCGCACGGCCCTGCGGAGGGTTCGGGGGCGGCCTGGAGTGCGGCCTGGAGGTGGCGGTGGCCAGCCGCGCGCCGGGGTCTGGGACCGGGCGGCGGGAGGGGAGAGGACGCTGGCCGGCCCGCACGCTGACGCCCCTCTCCTGCAGGGCTTCTTCAAGCGCACCGTGCAGAACAACAAGCACTACACGTGCACCGAGAGCCAGAGCTGCAAGATCGACAAGACGCAGAGGAAGCGCTGCCCCTTCTGCCGCTTCCAGAAGTGCCTGACGGTGGGGATGCGGCTGGAAGGTGCGCGGGGCCTGGCCTCTGCCCGCCCTGGGGGGCGCGGAGGAAGGGGGCCGTGTGGGACGGGGTCGGTCGAGGGCCCGGTCGGAGACTTTCCGGGTCGGCAGTCACCCCACCCTGGATACTAGGGCTGCGCGCGGGCGCGCGGGGATCCGGTCTCCGCCTGGGGTCAGGGGAGCTGCCCGCTGGACCCGCGCGTCGAGAGAACCGTTGTCGTCGATTCTGCGAGGCAGATCAGGGTCAGCACTGAGCAGAGCCCCGCAGGGAGAAACCCCCAACACCCTCCGGACCCCCAACAGCAGGGAGCGCGGGTGCTTTCAGAAACATAAGCTGGGAATTTAAGAGTCTGAGGAACGGGGAGAGCGCTCAGGGCCGGAATCCCTGCGCCGGCGCCTCCATCCTGTCCACAGCGACCCATGGTTTCCTGCAAACCATCGGCAGTAACCCTGATGGCCCAAATACTGTGAGGGGGACCTCACAGCGTGACTGGTCCCAGATTAGCCGCTGTAGCAGGCTGTGCTGCGTGGGGAATTACTGACCCTCTCTGAGCTGCAGCCTCAGTCAGAGGTCTGACAAAGCCCTGCAGCCGGCAGGAGACCTCGGCATTCTCTCCTCGCTCGCAGGAGCTTGTCTGTGCACCATCCTCTTCCAGCTCTCTTGTCTGTCCCTCAGCCCAGTCACCCCGTGGGTGGGTGAAGTTTCCTCCTCCATGGCTCACTCAGCCAGGCCCTGAGAGGGTAGGGGGTGAGAAAGGTGGTCCCGCTGTGGACCCCTCCTGGCCTCCTCCCCTGCCCCAGCTCCGTTCGGGGGTGGGGAGACGCAGTTTGGTCAGGAAGGACTCCTGGGTGGACGGCAGAGGCGTCCACCCCGCTGGCCCCGGCTGGGCTGTGCGCCGAGCCGGCAGCTGTCGGCTGATGTTCTCAAGCTTCATCCAAAGCTCCAGGGTCCCGCCACCTAGAGGCAGCGGTCCAGGTTGTGGAGGATGGGCGGGGTCTACCCTGTTCTGCCCCCAGGACCCATGTCCCCAATCTAGGTCTGGGTGGGGGAGCAGGAAAGCAGGTGGTGGGGCAGCAGGACCTTTGGAGGGGCGGGAAGGCAGGGAAACAGCCCGCGTGGGTCCCAGACATGCACCTGGATGGTCAGCTGGCAGCACATTCCTGACCACGGGAGGCCATCTGGCAAAGGAGTCCCTCCCACCCCCCACCCCCCACACAGTCCCTGGCAGCCCTCAACACAGCCCAACTCTGAAGGCTGTGGCAAGCACCCAAGATGTTTTGGCCACTGAGGCAGGCGGGCAGGCTCCAAGCAGCGGACTCCGGTTCCAGCTGCAAACTAGGCTCCCAGCACCCACATTCATCACCGTGTCCCTGCTAGGCCCTGGGAGGGCTGCCCCAGTCTCCAGAAGCTGTGAGTCTAGCTCTGGTGGCATCCCCCCCACCTCCCGCCTGATAAGAAGGGGAGGGACCCTCAGGGCATGGAGAGTGCATTCAGCCTGCACAGTAAGTCCAGGAAAGCATCACGGAGGAGGTGACCTCAGGCTCCAGCAAAGCACCAGGTTTGAGGCAGAAGGAAGAGCAAAGGCAGCATGGTGGTAAAGGAGAAGTCCCAGGTAGAGGTGCAGAGGGAGGAGGAAGGCGGCGTGGAAAGAACCCCGGCTCGGAGGGGAGGGCCTGGGAGAGCTGGACAGGGCCTTGAAGGCTGGGCGAAGGAGGGGCGGGCGCCGGGAGCCAGGCCCAGGTGGCAGGGCAGGGTCAGAGGTGCCGGGGATGCCAAAGGGACGGTGGCCTGGAGGGGCTGAGTCTGACCTGCTGCCCCTGCCCGCAGCCGTGCGTGCTGACCGCATGCGGGGCGGCCGGAACAAGTTCGGACCCATGTACAAGCGGGACCGAGCCCTGAAGCAGCAGAAGAAGGCCCAGATCCGGGCCAACGGCTTCAAGCTGGAGACCGGGCCCCCCTCGGGCGCACCGCCCCCGCCGCCCCCGCCCCCGCCGGACTACATGCTGCCGCCGGGGCTGCACGCCGCCGACCCCAAGGGCCTGAGCTCCGCGCCCCCCGCGGGGCCCATGGGCGACTTTGGGCCCCCAGCGCTGCCCATGGCCATGCCCAGCACCCATGGGCCCCTGGCCGGCTACCTCTACCCGTCCTTCCCCGGCCGCACCATCAAGTCCGAGTACCCGGAGCCCTACGCGAGCCCCCCGCAGCCCGGGCCGCCCTACGGCTACCCAGAGTCCTTCTCGGGCAGGCCCGGGGTGCCCGAGCTCATCCTGCAGCTGCTGCAGCTGGAGCCCGAGGAGGAGCAGGTGCGGGCGCGCATCCTGGGCTGCCTGCAGGAGCCCGCCAAGGGCCGCCCCGACCAGCCCGCGCCCTTCAGCCTGCTCTGCCGCATGGCCGACCAGACCTTCATCTCCATCGTGGACTGGGCGCGCCGGTGCATGGTCTTCAAGGAGCTGGAGGTGAGTCCCGGCACCGCGGCGCTCCTGGGTGGGTGGACCCACTGGCCCCAGCCTGTTTGTGGGGACACCCCAGCCCGCCCGCCTGCCCGCCTCTCACTCCCTTGCTCCTTGCTGTGCTCTTCCCTGCTCGCTTCATCTCTCCAGCCCCTTCAGTCTGCGTTCTTGTTCCCTGACTGGGTCTCCATGCAATTTTTTTTTTCTTTTTGGGTCACACCTGCCGATGCACAGGGGTTACTCCTGGCTCAAGCACTCAGGAATTACTCCTGGTGGTGCTCAGAGGACCCTATGGGATGCTGGGAATCGAACCCGGGTCGGTTGTGTGCAAGGCAAACGTCCTACCCGCTGTTCTATTGCTCTAGCGTCTCTCCATGCAAGCAATTCTCTGTCTCTCTGTCTCTGTCTCTGTCTCTGTCTCTCTCTCTGCCCCCCACCCCAGCCTTGGCCAGACCCCGGGTCTTGCAGAAAAAAAAAACTGAGACAGGCGGGCCTCCCCGCTTCCCCACCACCACCCCATTTTGGAGAGCCTCTGGCAGCTCGGGTCAGTCATCAGGGCAGAGGGAGTTTGTGGTTTGTCCTTCCGGCCGGAGGGGCAGTGCCCATGAATCCCTATAGGGGGGAGCACAGGGCCGGGGGGCTGAAGTGCACGTGGTGCCTCCCCCACCCGGGCTGAGGAATCTGAGACCATGGCAGAAGGGACTGAGGCCTGTACTTCTTCACCTCATCCCCAGACTGGTTCCCTACTAGGAGCAGAGTGAGCCGCCAGCCCTAGCGGTCCCCCAGTCCTGCCCGGTCATGGACTGCTTGGGAACGAACCCCACAGTGTTCGCCTCCCCCCTGCTGTACCCCCAGCTGCTGCAGCGGGCTCCTTGGTGGGACCCTTGCAGCCTTGAGCCGAATTGCATTCACTGGCACCACTCCCGTCTGGGTTTCCTCAGATGGGCCGGAGGCTCTGCCTGGCACTGCTGACGGGGGTAGGCATGGGGGCACTGTGGGCCCAGGACGCATGCTTGGGGATTTGGGCACCGCCGTTGCTGACCTGGTCACTGCCGTTGTTGCTGGCTCCTATTTCTTCTGAGGGGATCTGACATGGTGCAGGCCTGAGGCGGTGCCCATGTCTGTTCTAGGGCGAAGCCTCTCACCCCCGTCCCCTTCCCCCAGGCGGCCAGCCCGAATGACACAAGAGGCCCCAGGGGGCATTGCCCCCTGCAGCAGCGGCCCAGGCCCCAGGAGGGAACGGGGCGTCCAGCTTCCAGGAGCCCCTGTGCTGAGGCAGGTGGCAGGCCAGGAGCTTCCTGTGGCCAGCCCGTCTCACGGGGCTGTGCACGGGGTGGGGATGGCTTTTGTCCCAGCCCTGCTGAGTGTTTTTTCCTGCTTCTGGCTTCTCTGTGCTCCCAACCTTCCTGCTTCCCCTTCCCCACCCCTCTTTGAGGGGAGCCCAGGAACATGGACCCCAAGTTCCAGCCCAGTCCCGTGAGGGCCTTCAGCGGTGGGAACCGCACACCCCACACTTCCCGGTTCACAGGGCTGCGGTCAGTCTGCACATTCTGAGCAGGGACAGTGTCGACTGGCCCTGTGTCCCCTCCCAGCAGGTCCCTCATCCCCACCTCGGACAGCCCCCCCACCCACCCCCGCAGCAGATGGGAGAGCAGGCTCTCCGGCATCCAGAGGGGAAGCCTTGGGGGAACTCTGGATGCCCCAGGCTAGAGAAGGGGACAGGTCCACCCCGGTACTATGGCCCAGAGAGGGGGCAGTGGACTCTGCCTGGGCACATCAGGGCAGGCAGCTGGACCTGCGCCTTCCAGAACGTAACGGCCACTCTGGGAAGCAGGAACCACTGGGCATGTGGCAAAGCGTCCAGCTGAGGTGTGGGCCCCGAGCGTGGACACGGCCGGAAGCAGGCTCAGCCCGGGCCTAGAGGGAGGCAGCGTCCGGGGTCAGGTGGGCCTCTCAGTCTCGGTGCTGCAGGGTCTGAGACCCCAGATGTTGGGGTTCAGATGCCCTCATGGGGCTCCCCGCCATCCTCTCTTCCAGCCTCCCCTGCTCTCGTGCCATTGCGGCCCGGGACAGCCCCCCGTGGGCGAGTTCAGGTCAGACCCGGGAAGCTGAGGCCGCCTGAAGCTCCCGGCTCTCTCTTTGGGGCAGTGAGGGCGGCACAGGAGGACCCCTGCTGCCTACTGCAGGGGTGCAGGGTGGGCGGTGAGGGCCCCGGGCAGGCGCCTGCTGACCCGACCTCATCCCGGGTCCTCCTCCGTGGCCAGTGCTGAGCTTGGATGGATGATGGCGTGGAGACATGGCAGGAGCTGTCAGCCGGGCTGACAAAGGGTGCCCCGTGGGCCGCCCCTGCAGAATGAGCGTGGCTGGCCTTGGCCGCAGGCCCCCCCAGACCCTAGCGGAGGTCAGCCCGGCACCCGTAAATAAGCCGTGTCCCAGGCGGGCGGCAGCATGTCAAGGCTCCAGAGAGATTTGTGGGGACTGGCAGGAGGGGTGGCCCGGGCGGGACCCGCACGCGTCCTTGTTCAGGGGCCGCGGGAGACACCTCGCTGAGGAGACACGGAGCCAGGCAACACCAACTCTGTCGCTAAGTGGCCTCTCAGCCACCTGCTTCCGCCCAGGACCCCTGGATTTCTTTTCCACGAAAAGGGAAGGGGGGGAAGGAGCCAGGGGTGAGAGTGTGTGTGCTTATGAGTGTGTGAGTGTGTTTGAGTGTGTGAGTGTATGTGTGTTTATCCGTGTGTGAGTATATTTATGAATGTGTGTATGTGAGTGTTTATGTGTGTATGAGTGTGTGTGTGTGTGTGCCTGTCTGTGTACGTGTGTATGTTATTTTGAAGGTGGGTGAATACATGTGTGTATGTCTGAGAATGTGAATGTATGTGAGTGGGTTTATGAGTATATGTGACAGTGTAGGTGTGTGTGTGTGTGTTTTTGAGTATATGTGGGTATGGTGGGTGTGAGAGTGAGTGTGTTGATGAGTATGTGAGGGGTGTGACTGTGTGTATGTGTGTGTTAATCAGTATGTGAGGTATATGACTGTATGTTGATGATTATGTGAGGTGTGTGGCTGTGTGACTGTGTGTGTGTGTTCCCATCTGTTTGGGGAAGGGTGACAGGCCTGGGTGCTGTGAGAGCCACCAGGCTCCTGGAACCCATCCCCCCCACACACACACACAGGAGGTTTCCTGCCCATCTCCTGGGGCAGGAAATCAGGGCAGGGGAGGGATGTGGGCGACTGGGCTGCCCCCTGAGCCTGCACCCCTATCTGCTCTGGGGCTGAGGTCTAGGGACCACGTCTGCTCCCAGGCTGGGCCCAGCCAGGTCACAGTGACCCCTCTGCTCTCTGCCCGGCCTGTCTGCTTATCTCTTGTTCTGCCCCTTATCTTCCCCCTTCTACCTCCACCCTGCGCCTTCAATCTGGGCACGAGGGCGTCTGCCCCCCCTGGGGTCCAGAGGACTGGGGAGCTGAGCCCAAATCTGCACGTCACTCCCGTCACCCTCACTCTGGGCCGCCCGAGGAGGCCTCCACTGGGGCTCAGGGGTTCTCAGGCCCCCTGAGGCCAAGCCCTGTGGGGCTACCAGAGCACATCATACCAGTGGGCATGATATGGGGCACGCCAGAGAGTGCCACACGGATCAGGTCCCGCTGGCCCCGCTCTCTCCTCGAACACTGGGGCACTGTGGACACGGCCCCTGTTGCTCCATGGGGGAGGTGACAACCTTCCAGGAGTTGGTTCCGATTCCCTGGTGGGGGAAATCTGGAGCCCGGTAGAGCTGTGTGGCCTGGGCAAGTGATTTGACCTCTCTGGGCTCTGTCGAAGCTCTGCAGCTGGGTCGTCCTTGCAGGTTGTCTCTCTCCTCTCTCTCTGTCTCTGTGTCTCTGTCTCTTTCTTTCTCCCTCCCTGTCTCTCCCTCCCTCTTTCTCCCTCTCTCTCTCCCCGTCCCTCTCTCTCGCTCTCTCTCACTCACTCCCCTTCCTCTCCCCCCCACCTCATGCTCCTCTTGAGGGTCAGGCCCCACCACTCTGGGGTACACAGTTCAGGGTGGGGAGAGAGGTGCAGCCCAGTCACTGTCCCATGTACCTCTCCCTCCAGGTGGCCGACCAGATGACCCTTCTGCAGAACTGCTGGAGCGAGCTGCTGGTATTTGACCACGTGTACCGGCAGATCCAGCACGGCAAGGAGGCCAGCATCCTGCTGGTCACTGGGCAGGAGGTGACCACCCTCTGAGCCCCCTCACCCCAGCCCCGGGGAGTTCTGCTCTGGGGGAGGCCACAGAGGGATGTGGGGACGATCCGAAGCTCCCGGAGGTGTTGGGCTCCGGATGTTGGGAGAGTAGAGGAGATCAGGAGGGCAGCAGTGGTGGGAGCAGGGGCACAGCAGGGCAAAGGGTGCAGAGGGATGTTTCAGGCTCCAGGTTGCCTGGGCCACTGGCACATGGACTTGGAAAGACTGGGTGGGACGGGCTGAGAGGCTCATGGAGGTGCTCGGGGCTGGTTTGGAGCAGACCTTGCAGGCTTTCAATCCTGGATGGATGGACAGACAGAAGGACCGATGGATGGATAGATGGATGGATGGATGGTTGGACGGACAGATGAACGAATGGACAGATGGGTGTGTGGATGAATGGATGAATAGACAGATGATGGATGAACAGACAGGTGGGCAGGTAAATGGATGGATGGGGGAGTGGATGGCTGGGTGGGTGGGTGGGTGGGTGGACAGATGGATAAACCAATGGACAGGTCAACAGATGGATAGGTGGGTGACAGGTGGTGGGTGGATGAATGGATGGAGGGATGATGGATGGGTGGATGAACAGTTGTGTGGACAGGTGGATGGATGGATGAGTAGGTAGATTGGTGGGTTGGTGGGTAGATGATTGTGTAGGTGGGTGGGTGGATGGACGGATGGATGGATGGATGGATGGACGGATGGCTGGGTGGATAGATTGGTGGTTGTATAGATGGTTAGGTGGATGAATGTGCAGAGAAGCCTAGGGCTCCAAGAGTTCAGTCAGAATTTGGTTCCCTCTAGGGGAGAGAACCAGGGGCAATATGGCAAGTGAGAGGAGAGTGGAGGCAGCTCCCCAACTGATCAGAATTCTGGGGATTTGGGAGGGGGCACTTCAAGCAGGAGGTCCCCCAGCTGGTGCAGGAGAAGTATCAGGAGGAGGGAGTACAGGGGGAGGAGTGGGTTTGGCAGGTGCCTCACATTCTGTGTCTGTGGGGGGACAGTGAATGTGATCCAAGTGATGCCAGTACACTCCGAGACATGCATGCCCGCACGGTGTCTGATGGTGCAGTGCATACAGTCTGTGTGCGTGGGACACTAACAGGGTGTGTCTGTCTCTCTGGGATGGAGTTGCCCTGGGCACATGTCCATGCTGGGAAGCAGACGGCTGGCGGCCCTGGAGAGTTTTCCTGAGCTGAGTGCCCATGGGCATGTGCCCAGTCTGCTGGTCCCTGTGTATGTGTGTGTGTGTGTGTGTGGTGGGGGGGCGGCCCTGATGGTCACCTGGCCATGTCCACGTGTATATGGGTGACACCCCACGAGGTGCCACTGGCTGCAGACACTAAAGATGACAGGAGCCCCTCACAAGCCCCACGGTCCCCATCCGGGCGGCGGCTCAGCATGTTAGGAGTGGGGGTCTTCCTCGGTGGCTCCGAGCAGGTCCCCATGCTGACCTGCCCTCACCCGCCAGGTGGAGCTGAGCACCGTGGCGGAACAGGCGGGGTCCCTGCTGCACGGCCTGGTGCTTCGGACACAGGAGCTGGTCCTGCAGCTGCACGCACTGCAGCTCGACCGCCAGGAGTTTGTCTGCCTCAAGTTCCTCATCCTCTTCAGCCTCGGTGAGTGGACAGCGCAGGAGGGACACTGGCCCAGATCCTGGCGCTTGAGACGGGGTGCTGCTTCTCTCAGCCACAGTTTCTTGTGCGGGGGGCACAGAGAGTGTCTGCGGCTCTGTTTGGGATCAGGGCACCTTTTGAGAATTGACATATGGGGGCTGGAGCGGAAGCACAGTGGGAAGGGCATTTGCCTTGCATGTAGCCGGCCCGGGTTCAAATCCAAGCATCCCATAGCGTCCCCTGAGCACCGCCAGGAGTATTTCCTAAGTTCAGAGCCAGGAATAACCCCTGAGCATCACCAGGTGTGACCCAAAGAGAAAAAAAAAAAAGAAAGAAAGAAAGAAAAAAAGAAAAAAGAATTGACCTTTGGGGACGGGACCCACCAGTGTTTGGGGAGCCCTGCGAGGCCGGGTATGGAATCTGGGGCTCCAATAGGCGAAACGGGCACGCTGGTCCTTTGAGCCATCGCAGCCCCTCCTGAGAATCTGGAAAATGACTGAAAACACCTTAGAAAGTGCCAGGTGACACAAAAATCACCTGGTTCCAGAACCTTCTGTTGTTGCCCCACGCGTGTTGAGGGAAAGAGAAGGTCTTGATTTCTCTAACTTCCTACCAGGCCCAGGAAGAGGAGGGCCACTGTGACTGAGTTCTTTCGGACCACATCCCCGTCCTCATTCATGCATTCTTTCATTCATCATTCATTCCTTTGCTGAGCTATGCCCAGTGCAAGGTCACAGGAGCCGGAGCCTGGCTTTTCCTCACAAGCTTCAGGAGTCCAGATGTGTAGGCATTGAGGGTAAAGTGTGCCACCAGGAAGGCAGGGAGGGACTGGATGAGGTCAGCCCAGGACTCCAGCGTCTCCGTTGGCCTTGGGTCCAGCCTCAGCTACACCAGCCTCCACCCCCTCTGAATATGCCCTGTGCACCTGTGCCTGGTACTGCTGCTAACCTCAACCTTTTCTTGCTGTCAGGAGACCTCGGTCCAGGTGGGAGAGATCTCTTTTTGGGGGCAAAGGGTCAGAACTGGGGAAGAGAGATCAGATCAAAGCCTCTGCTTGGAAGGCTTCCTGGAAGAGGGATCTATGAGTGGGGTCTTGGAGGATGAATAGGAGTATTCTGGGTAGATGGATCATTCTGCAGAAGCATAGCTGGGTTGAAAGGTGGAACACAGGGTCATGGATATCGCCTCGCCTGCGGAGGGGCTGGAACTGAGGCACAGATGGACAGGGGTGCCTGCCCAGGGGGAGGTTGAGGACAGGAGTGAGCCTGAGGAGTGCTCAGTGCTGGCAGTGGACAGGCTGTGCCCGTGTGCTGGGGAATCCGGGGCTGGACCTCACTATAGAGGTCTTGTCCTCATTCCTCATTCTCTCATTCTCCTCACTATAGAGGTCTTGTTCCGGTGCAACCCACAGGTTCCTCTGTGGCCCTGGGGGGCACTGGAGTGCAGCCTCTGCTCAGGAGCAGAGACCACCCCAGGGGGAATGGGGCTTATGCCCGTGTGTCCTTCCTCTCTTATGCATGGCAGTGTGTGGGAATATGTGTGAGTGTTGTAAGAGTGTGTATCAGTATGTGTGTATGTGACAGTTTATGTGAGACAGTGTGAGTGTGTGTGTGGGGAAATGGGTGTATGTGAGTTTGTGTGGGTGCATGAGTGTGTGAGTGCGCATGAGTATGAGTGTATGAGTGTATATGAGTGCATGTGAATGTCTGAGAGTGTGTGTGTGTGTGTGAGTATATACGAGTATGTGTATGAATGTGAACGTGTCTGAGTGTATATGAGTGTGTGAGTGTGTATGTGAGTATGTGGGTGTGTAAGTGTATAAATATGTGTGAGTGTGTGTGGGTGTGTGAGTGTGTATGTCAGTGTGCGGGGGGTGTGAGTGTGTGTGAACGTGTGCATGTGAGTGTATTTTTGTGAGTGTGAGTATGTGACTGTGTGTGAGTGAAGTATGAGGATGTATGTAAGTGTGGGGCCTGTGAGTGTGTGACTGTTAGTGCATGAGTATGTGTGAGAGTGTATGTGAGTGGGTGTGGGTGTGTAAGTATATGTATGTGAGTGTGTGACTGCGTGTGTGTATGAGTGTATGAGAGTGTATGTGAATATGTGTGGGTGTGACTGTGACTGTGTTAGCGTATGAGTGTGTGTGAGAGTGTATGTGAGTGCGTGTGGGTGTATATATGAGTGTGTGATTGTGTTTGAGTGTATGAGAGTGTGAGAGTGCATGTGAGTGTGTGGGGATGTTAAAGTGTGTGTGAGTGTGTGTGAATGTACGACTGTGTAAGTATATGAGTGTGCGAGTGTATGTGAGTGTGTATGAATGTGTGTGTGACTGTCAGCTGTTATAGGATCACATTTTTCATGTGTCATGTGTGTCAGGAATCTGGAGAGCTGGTGAGGGGCGGGGCTCTGGGGATCCCCTCGAATGCAGGGACCATTGTGGTGGTCTGGGCAGATTTGCAGCTGGGAACTCTGGAGCTGGAGGCCCAGGGGTCAGGGGGTGGCCGGATGGCTGGGCGGAGAGGGGGCCACTGTTCTCTCCCTGGTTGGGCCCCGTCCATCCTGGGGTGCCCCTGAAAGTGAAGTCCCTGGGCTTGGCTTTCTAGATTATCTGGGGTCTGACACACATCTTAGCCGAGCGACTTCTCAGGTCTAAGTGGCTGGTCTTAGAATCCGGGGACCCAGTGCCTCCTCTCCACGGGCCCTCCGCCGGAGTCCCAGGACTGCAGTGAGCAGTGCCAGGCGGACGAGGGCGCAGCGACCCCGTCTACACCCGCCCCAGAAGGCAGGGTGGGTATGGGACTGAGCATGTGTTCTAAATCAGAGCTTGCCCTGGGGCGGGGTCCAGTGCCTGCTGGACTCCTGTCCCCTCCTGTCCATCAACCTTCCTGCTGGCCCCTCGCTGGCTCAGAGGCCGGCCGAGAGTTTCCCAGAGTGCTCCGTGCCAGGCCAGACCCCTTGTCAATGTGCGTGGGACATTTGTACAGGTTTTGTTTTTGTTTGGGGGCAACAGCCGGTGGTGCTCAGGATTCACTCCTGGCTCTGTGCTCCCATAGGTGGTGCCAGAGATATACCTGGGTGTGCCCTACTCTCTACCCCATCCACTAACCCGCCAGCCCCAGTTTTGCAATTTTTATCAGAACTCTAATTAGGAAGGCTGATCATTCACTGCAGGAGGGAATGAATGAAGTAGGTGAATGAACGAATGCCTCATTCTCCCGCTGGGTCACCCACCGTGTGTCTCCATGTTATGCTGACTGGTCTTTGGTGACAGGGACAAGAGTCTGACTGAGGTGAGTGGGGGGCAGTCAGCCAGAAGCCAGAGATGTCAGTGTCTTTGGGGAGCAAGGGGAGGAGGAGGAAGAGGAGGCAGTCTGAACCTGCCCACGCTCATGGCAGAGCCGGAAGCCAGGCTTGCTCCTGAGGCTGTCGGCAGGCAGGTCGCTGGGTGGAACAGGAGTCTGAGCTATGAATGTGACAGGGGTTGGTCTAGAAATCAACTTTGCCTGGGGTATCAGGGAAGGCTTCTTGGAGGATGAGGCTCGGAGCTGGGCTTTGCAGTATGAATATGAGTGTTCTCTGTGAAGCAAACAAGAACCCCTTCCCACCTGCAGAACAGTTTATGCAAAAAAAAAAAAAAGGCAAGGGATCCTGCAGGTTTGGGGTGACTGTGGGGCAGGGAAGGAAGGGGTGCAGGGACTGGGATCAAGTCCCCAGAAACTTTCCTGGGGAAAGATGGAAGGAAGAGGGACACCCCGCACACTACAGTCCTTTGTCCGGAAGTTCTTCCAACCGCGGGAGGCAGCCCAGGGATCTGTGAAGGGGGGAAGATGCCCCGATGGAAACAGACTTGGGGGGCTCCTCTCATCCCCACCTCCCACCCCACACAAACGACTGGGACCAGGAAGGGCCGCACACAGGCTACCAACCCCCAACTGGCAGCTGGGTGCTGCCCTAGGGCAGCGCCTCCCGGGGTGGGCCGCCAGGACCCCCCCATGCTGACTGTCCCCCCTGCACTGCCCCCTCCCGCCCCGCCCCACGGCCTGCCTCCACGCCTGGCTCCACAGAAGGGCACCATTTGGTGTCTAAATAGACAGCTCTGGCAGGCACGGAGACAGGTAAGGAGGTTTAATTAAAATTAGTGCCTCTCTCCTGGCAATCGCCGTGTTTATGAAGATGGGCCCGGCCGGCATTGTTCGCCGAGGACTTAATCGAAGCTTAATGGATTGACCTAACATGCGGTTTCCTGACTCCCATTGAGACGCCCGCCGCCGCGTTCCCTTAAGCGTTTGCAATTTACCCACGGCTCCCTGCCAACAAAAGGCGGCCTGAATAGCAGCCCACTCGAGGGCTCATTGTGCGCGGGGGCGCCCGCCTGAGTCACCGCTATTGGGACAACATTCTTTATGCCTCGCTGGAATGAAAGGATTATTCAAATATTCAATTAAACCGTGAAAAGGGGGCTTTTCTGAGAACCTGGGGCCCCCAGCTCCGCAAAGCTAGCGGCTGCTGGGGCGGGGGGGGGGGCGGAGAGCAGTCCCCCCCTCCCACCACACACCTCCAGGATTGCTGGGAGCCGAGCAGGCTTGAGGGGGGGACCCCCCGCAGTCTGATCCTCTCTGGGTGGGGGGTGCCCCAACTCCTGCCTGCGGTGGCCCGGGGCCCAGAGCCCGGCAGACAAGACCAGATACCGTTCCCTGGTAGCCTGGAGGTAGACTGCTCTGCATCCTTATTCTGCAGGTGATGGGAAACTGAGGCTCAGAGAGAGGGTCACCCAAGTGGCAGAGGGGTTGGGCTGAGTGTGACCCTGTTCCGGGTCTGATGGAGGGGTGGGGTGTGGTGTCTTGGGGTGTTGGTGCCGGCTCATCTCAAGGGGAACGTCCTTGAGACACGGGGTTAGGGGGTGGAGGGGTCAGGAAAGGGTTGAATCACATGGTTCCTGCCTGTCCGTGGGGCTCTGAGCCCAGGAACTGCCTTGGCACTAGGATCCTGGCACTAGGTCCCCCTGGTGGGCCACCCCCTGGCACGGGGGCTGCTCCTCCCCTCCCCCGGGCCAGTGAAGCTGGTGCTGAGGAAACCAGCCTTGTGGGGGCCTGAGTGAGTCCTTCAGCCCCGCAGCCCTGCAGTGAGGGTTCTCCCACCAGAGAGAGCTGCCCAAGGGGGGCACTGGCTCCGCAGACTGTCCTTGGGGTGTACCCACACCTCACACCGCCCCTGTATGAGGCAAGGGACAGTAAATCCTGGTAAAGCCGACTCTGGCCGCCCTGCTTGAGCCTGCCCCCACCCCCAGCCAGGATCTCCACTGCCGTGAGCTTCTAGCAGGGTCCGACCCTTCCCTTGGCCCAACCCTCTGGGGTGAGTTACCAGCAGAATTGTCCAGTCTGGGACCAGTGAGGTTCAAGATGTGAGAGTTGAAGGGATGGGACTGGCCTGAAGAGTGGTGTCAATGGGACCAGGGCCAGTAGGCCACTCAGGCCTCCAGGAGGCCAGTCGGCGGGGGTGGGTGTGGAAGGGGATTCCCATGACCTCTGAGAGTATCCAGCAGGTGAGTGGAGGGGTCAGATGGCACTGTACAGTTGGGCATGTTGTTCACTGCACAAGGGCATTTTGACACTAGCGGGGGACAATAAGGGCTAAAATACAGCTGGGATGGTGCTGGCTAAGCTGTCTCTGGGTAGCAAAAGAGGAATTTCTCATTGGCACCTGTGGGCTCATGGCAGCCTGGGGAAGGAAGATGAGGGAAGAAATCACCCAATTCACTTTCTACAGGAGATGCAGGTTCTGCAGTGGGTCGTGGTCAGGACCAGATCCTGCCATACGGCCTGAGCCCAGCTCAGGTTTCCCTAAATCCGGCTTTGGACAACATGGGCCTCGGCGGGCACTCTGGGGGCGGCTGGGGATCAGGGTTGCCAGGAGCCCTGGCCCTCCCAGTGCTGGGGGTGTTAGGAGGGATTAGAGGGGCCAAGGGCGACACATGCTCTGGGGACCTGGGAGAGCAGGACCGGGCGCGAGTGCAAGGGTTGGGGGCCACTTCCAGGGCTGGGACTCCGCTCCTGTGGACCCTCAGCACCAGGGACACGGCAAACAGGGGTGAGGGGGCACTGGACAAGCCCCTCCAGGGGCACCCCTGGGCCAGACACCTGTGAACCCCACCAGGTGGACACAGACCAAGGAGGTCCGGGCACTGTGGTGGCTTGGGCACCCATGACCTCATTGGACAGAAGTGAGTCTGCCTGATGAGAAGTGTGTGAACCCCACTTCTGGGTCCCGGGCACAACACCTCACGGTTCCAGGCAGGGCACAGGCTCACATCTGTCTCATCACGTTGGCTCGCATTGGCCCCCTGCTGGCCACTGTGTCCCTGTACTGGCCTAGTGCTGTGCTGGGTACCCCATGTGAGAGAGAGCTGCTGCTTCCCACCCCCCTTCACCCCCAAGTCCCGCCTGCCTGCAGCTGTCCCCTGCACAGACTCAGGTCAGCCCCTGGCCACCTCCCAGCCCCACTAGAAGGAGCTTCCCAGGAGGCTCTGTTGTCTCAGCCTGGAGGGGGCGCCCCAGGAGGGCCTTGGCTCTGCAGACTGGGGGACTCCGGGTGCATGAGAGGGGCTTGTGATGGAGCTAACAGGGAGGGGGGAGGGCGTGTGGGGGGAGACGGTGATGGCAGGGCCCCGATGTGAGTGTGACTATCCTGGGGGGGCGGGGCTTGTCATCGCGGTGAGGGTTGGTGTTGGGAAAGTGACAAGGACTGCGGAGAGAGGACGGGTCAGGCGTTTGCTTAGCACACAGTTCCATTCCTGGCACCCCCAGATGGTCCCCAGAGCCCCACCAGGACTGATCTCTGAGCAGAGAGCCAGGAGTTTGGGGCTCTGGCCCTAAAACAAAATAAGTAAAAGGTGCCACATCCCGACCCCTCCTTTGGGGCCCTGTGCCCTGCCCCAGCGCGGATCGACTGTGGTGAAGAGGGCCTTTCCCCACCCCGGTCCACCGAGGGGAAACCGAGGTGCAGCAATATTCCCAGAGCCCCCGCAGGGGAGGACGATGAAAGTCCTGTTCCTAGGTGATGCAGCAGAGGGCATTGGCGGGGGGCCCCGGGATGCGGGCGCAGGGGCCGCCCACGCGGAGCCGGGACGCGACTGGTTAGAAGTGGCAACGCGTCCAGCGTCCCGGGCGCAAGGAGGCCGGGCGGGGGCGGTGCCGGGGCTGTGAGCGCCCCTCCGTCTGTACGTCCGCAGACGTGAAGTTCCTCAACAACCACGGCCTGGTGAAGGACGCGCAGGAGAAAGCCAACGCCGCCCTGCTCGACTACACGCTGTGTCACTACCCGCACTGCGGGGACAAGTTCCAGCAGCTGCTGCTGTGCCTGGTGGAGGTGCGGGCCCTGAGCATGCAGGCCAAGGAGTACCTGTACCACAAGCACCTGGGCAACGAGATGCCGCGCAACAACCTGCTCATCGAGATGCTGCAAGCCAAGCCGACCTGAGCCCGGGCCGGGGCCGGGCCTGTCGGGGCGGGGCCGCGGTCGGGGCGGGGCCCGGCCGGGGCGGGGCCTGTTCGAGGGCGGGGCTGTGGTCGGGGCGGGGCCTGTTCCGGGGCGGGGCTGTGGGCGGGGCCTGATCGGGGCGGGGCCGCGGCCGCCCAGGCCTTCCTGATGGTTTATTTTAATATGCGGATCTGGGAGCCCTGCCCTGGACCCCTGAGCTCTCCGAAGCCCTTTGATTTGGGAAGGTGAGATGGGTGGACAGGCGCCCACTAGCCACGGGTGCTCCCTCTAGACACGCACAGTGCCCCAAAGTGACAGCTGACGATCCCCCTCCCCTGCTGCCAGCTTTGAGACCCCAAGTCTGGCGTGCACGTCCGATGGAGGTTTAGGATCCCCGGGGGTGGAGGGGGGCTCCATGGCCCTTGGGTCAGCGTCATCCCTTCATCCCTTCCCTCGTCTCCTGGAAGCCGTCAGGGAGGCTGAATAGGCAGCTGCGACTGGGGGAGAGGTGAGGGAGGGTCTCCAGCACGCCAGGAAGCCGTGGGTGTCTGCGTATACAGGTTCAGGCAGGGGCCCCAGAGGGCCCCGGGAGCTCGTTAGGACAAAAGGACCCTCCTCTGGCCCTTCCACTCCGCCAGGCTTCTGCAGGGGAGAGCTTTAACAGCCCTCCCCGCCTCGCTCCCCCCCTCACCTCCCGGAGAAGGCGACCCTACTCCTCGCCTGCCCAGGCGGGCGTTATCTGCAAGTTTGTAACGCGGAGGTTTGCTTCTGTTTTGTTTTGCATCACCTCGATATTCCCAGGAAGGCGGGGATGAGGGGGACGGAGGACGGATTTGAGAAATGAAGTTGGGACTTGGAGATGAGCACAGAGTGTGACCCAGTCTTTCCCCAGATGCCCACATACGCATGTCCAGTCCAGAGAAAACCTGTTGTCTGCCCGCTACCCCACCCTGCTAGTCGGATGCCCTGTGGAGGCTCTGAGTCTCTGGGTGGGACTAGGGGTGATCTTTGGGAGAGGGGAGATGGTCTCTAGGTCAGGGGCACTGCTGACGAGTTCCTCGCATTGGCCTATCTGCTGGGTTTCTTGCTGCAGATCCTGGAAGCTGGGCCACCGCTTCCGGGCTGCCTGGCCTGTTCTCAAAGACTTTCCAGGGCCAGGTGCCAGGGAGAGGCCATGCTGCCCCAGTCCCCACGCAGGGACACTGTCTGTCCTGCTTTCATGTTGCAGCTTACGCTGAGCCTGTCCAGTTGGAGGTGATTGGGCACCCCTGCCCCCCTGCCCGTCCCCACTGCCACTGACATGTGCCCCTGCCAAGACCAGAGACTCCCCAGCTCCCCATGAAAAGTGCCCTTAATCTCCCCAGCCCTCCCCCGCAGACCTGGAATAAATTTTGCAATTAGTTTCCAACTGCCTTCGCTGTTTCCATTCTGAGGTGGAGGGAGCCGGCTGGGAGGGTGTGGGGGGCGGTCTGGGAGGGGCGTTACTCCCACGGTGGTGGAGGGGGCATGCACATAACTTTTGATTCAAAATAATGGAGAGGCAGGCTGGGATGTGGGGGCAGAGTGGGTGGGCGCTGTTGATGGGCCCCACCTCGAGGCTTGGGAGTTGCCTCTGACTCAGTTCCTCAATTCATGCACCGTCCCCCCCCCCCCGCCCGACATTCAATGAGCCAATGAGCGTCTGCAGCCTTAATCCCGAATCCCTCGCTACACGTCGCTCCCACGGCCCAGTAAACTGGAGGGGCGTTGCCAGGGGACGGGACCGCCCAGTCTGGCTTCGTGTCCTCCTCCCCACCGCTGGGTGGCAGCAGTGAGCAGCGGAGGCTCCAGCACCTTCCCGGCTCAGCCAACCTCCTCCCGTGGTCCCATCTGCTCCTCCCTCGCTGCCCCTGCGGTAGGTGGCGGCCCCGGATTACAGAAGAGGAAACCGAGGGAGGTCCGGAGGGGCACGGTGGCCTGAGAAGGGGTGGAGCCAGTAGGCAAACCGTCTTTGCCCACTCCCCTACCCGCTGACCAGTGCTGATTTACCCAGTGCCTCTGCAAACAGAAAAAGGTGTTGGGACTGGCTCCTATGCAAAGGAAAGGGGGTCCTTTGCCCTCCTGGCGCCTTCAGCAGAAAAGCAGGCACAGAGATGGAAATCCTGATGTGATGTCGTGCGTCATATCTAGAGCTCGAGGAGATCGGGAAATTATTTGATCTTTCTTGCAATAGGAAGGCTTCATAACAGAGGTGTCTTCCGAGTTGGGTTTTGGAGATAGTCCAGGAGTTTGCCAATAGACAAGAGTTGGGGCCAGAGGAAGAAGAGTGAGCGGAAGGGTGGAAGGATGTCAGTCAACAGTGCTTGGGGACCTACATGATTTTGGCTGCAGATTAAAGAGCGTGTGGAAGGAAGCTGAGAGTACAGTGAGAGGGAGAGACTAGGAAGGATTCCTTAGTCCCTAGCCCTGGGCCCTGCACCCAACAGCTTCGGATTAGTTGGGTGCAGGAGGCAGAAGGGCCTCAGCAGCGGGAGGCATCAGGGACTGCACCCCAGTGTCCCCCACACCCTGTTTGGTGCCACCTATTCCACACCCCCCAGGCTGCAGTCCCTCAAATCTGGTCCCCCAGCTGTGGTGCCTGCACAGTGTCCCTGTCACCCTCGGTGCCGCTGTGCCTTTGCAGAGCTGTGCAGGAATATGTGGGCAGCACCCCCTCAGCGCTCCCCCAGTGTAGGGAAGGGCACGAACTCTCAGGACTGGGTTCCACATTTCGCACGTGATGAGCACCTAGAGGTTCCACCAGTGACCCAGCCCGGGAGGAAATCACGTGACCCTGGAGCTTGCGAGGGGGGTCAGTCTCTGCCGGTGGATTTGTCCCAGGCTCCCCCTCCAGACACACAGGTGGTGACGGGAGGGGGCAACTTCAGGGGTGCAGAGGGAGCTGGGTGTGCTGTCCTGGGGCTGTGTCTCACTCAGGGGCGCCCCCACCCGTGAAACAGAGTGTGTGTGTGTGTGTGTGTGTGTGTGTGTGTGTGTGTGTGTGTTGGGGGGGCAGGCAGTGATACGCTGAGTTCTGTCCCTGGCTCCTCCCTGGCCAGCTCCTCCCGGGCGCCTCCCTCATGTCCAGGCCTGGTGCTGACCTCCCACATCTCTGCTTCAGCTGCTTCTGGGCAGCTAGAGGTGGTGGGCAGGCGTCCAGGGCTCACAGACCCCAGCCACAGGGGTCAGCCTGGGGGTTGCCACTCATCTACCCCAGCCCCCCTCCCTACGTTCTCCCAGCCTGTGACCTGTGTGTTTGTGTGTGTGTAGGGGGGGTGCAGTACACGGTGATTGCTAAGCAGGATTGTCTCTATCCCCCATCCCCAATGAAACTGGGGTTCAAACCTCAGTTCCCAGGCTTGGACAGCAACTCCCCTTGTTCCTTCTCTGGGGAAGCCCGTCCTTGCCCCAGGGGACCCTCAGACAGAGAGGAGGGAGGGATGGGGACCGAGACCCGGCAGTTTATTCCCAGACCTGGAGTGGGGGAGTGTTAGTCTCAGCGAATAGGGTGGGGGAGGTGGGGCTCCCCCGAGGCTGCTGGGAGCAGTGGGGAGACCCCGGGGTACTCTGGAAGTCTAGGGACATAGTGACCCTTAGGGTCAGTCTAGCAGAATCACCCTGGGGGGGATCCACCAGCGCCCGAATGGGGAGAGCGGGGAGCTCGGGGCGGCGGAGCCCAGGCCGGGTCCCGAGCTGTCTCCTTGCATCCCCCCTCAATCCCGTGCCTCAGTTTCCCCAGGACCCCGGCGTGGCCCGGGCGCAGAGAGCAGGCGGGCGAGCGGCTGGCGGCGCCCGGTTGCTATCGCAGCCTTAGCAACGCGCCCATTCAGCGAGACAAAGGCGCTGTCACTCGAGCTCCGAGGCGCCGCCGCGCTCTCACGTTCCCGAAGGCGCTGCGCCTGCGGGGGTCGCGGCGCCAGGAGCTGAGGGCAGCGCAGCGGGCGTCGCCTGCGCCGTCCCCGCTGGCCTGCAGGGGGCGCCGCCGGGCTGCCGTGCGCCGGGAGCCGCGGGGACGCAGTCCCTGGCCACGGGCGGGTGGGCGCGGGCTTCCGAGGGTCGCTGCAGGCCTGTCCGCTGTGGGGACCCCGGCCCGGCTGGGAGCAGCCTCGAGCCCGCGAGCCTTCCGGGCCTCTCCTGGGGCAGGTGTAGGCGTGCAGTGGCCACAGCCTCCACCTCTTCCCGGTCCCATTAGCTGTCCATCTGGGGAAACTGAGGCCTTGGCGAGCAGCGCTGGGCCCGAGCTGTGTCTGTCTGGCAGGCCTCTGAGACCATGAGGGGATACAGAGCTTCTGCTTCTTGCTCCCTCCCTCCACAGGGCACTAGCCCGGCTAGGGGGTCCTGACCCGCCCCCCTGGAGGCTGACCGGAGGTGTGCTGCCTTCCTGCTGCGAGGGGCTTCATCAATTAAAGGGGTTCTCAGCAATACCACTCCTGGGAATATATCCCAGAGAGGCAAAAAATATATAGTCGAAGTGACATCTGCACTTGTTTTGTTCATTGCAGCACTGTTTACAATAGCTGGAATCTGGAAAAAACCTGAGTGCCCGAGAACAGATGACTGGTTAAAGAAACTTTGGTACATCTACACAATGGAGTACTATTTAGTTGTTAGAAAAGATGAAGTCATGAAATTTACATACAAGTGGTACTACATGGAAAGTATCATGTTAAGCGAAATGAGTCAGAAAGAAAGGGATAGACATAGAAAGATTGCATTCATCTGGGGAACATAAAGTAACAAAATAGGAGACTTAACACTGAAGAATAGCCGAGATAAGTACCAGGAGGTTCACTCCATGGCTTGGAGGCCAGCCACACATGCTAGGGGAAAAGGCAGCTCAGATAGAGAAGGGAGCACCAAATAAAGGCTGTCGGGAGGATCCTCCCAGGATGGGAGAAGCATGCTGAAAGTAGACTATAGACTGAACATGATTGCTGCTCAATGCCTCTTTTGCAAACCACAGCACCCAAAAGGAGAGAGAA